AAGGCCAGCATATTTGAGCAGTCAGCTAACCAAACTGTTCATATTTTCTTCAGTTGCTACACTTCATATCTTATTTTCTTCTTAAATTTGTTAAATATCCTTATGCAGAACATTAAAAGCAGTGTCCAACATTAGTATTACTTACTTATTAGGTATATTATGAATTAAAAACATCATGTGTGAAGTTATTTCTTAGTATTATTAATTTATTGTATGAGTGTGTGTGTGTGTGTATGTGTGTATGTCTGTTTGTGCGTGTGCTTGTGCGTGTGCACGTGTACAGAGGCTGGACAACAAAGGATACCTTGGAAGAGTTAGTTTCCTTCTTTGATCATGCAGTTCCTGGGAATTGAACTCAGCCTATCAGGCTTAGTGACAAGTGTCTTTACCTAAAAAGCCATCTTTAAAATTAAAATGTTTCCATTCCATTTATAATTTTCTGTAACATGTCTCAAAGTATTTACTAATTTTGTCCTAGGTACTCTCATCTTAGTCAAGGTTAAATAGATAACACTACCATTGTGAGTGTCTTACTTAAGGCGGAACAGTCTTACTAATTAAGTCAGGGAGAGAGTGTGTTGATGATCATTAAGCTCTTGTGCTTTGATCTAAAAAAAACTCTTCTCTTTTCCTTTGATCTTTTAAATCTAAATTGCTAGGCTTTTAAAAATAGAATGCAAGTTTTTTCTTTTTTCTTTTCTTTTTTTTTTTTTTAGTTTAAGATGTAGAAACAACTTAATAATAATTGCTAATTTTCTTAGGCAAGCCTATTCAGTCATCCTCTTTCCTCCCCCTTACCTGCATTTACAATATTAGCTTGTGGTCTGGGGAGATAGTACAGTTGGTAGAGTACCTGTCTGCCATGCATGAAGCTCTGGGTTTGGTTCCCACCCTTCATTAAATTAAGCATGATGACATCTTGCCTGTAATCGCAGCACTTGGGGGTTGAGTCAGGAAGGGAATTTAAGGTTATCCTTAGCTGTGCAGCAATCTTGAGTCCAACCTGGGTGGGCTTCATGACACCCTGTCTGGAGGGAAGAAAATTGACGACATAGTGCCTTGGTTTCTTTAAATTGACTTCTAATCTTAATACCCTGATAATAAAGAACAGTATTGGTATGAATACAATTCTTAAGGATGTATAACTTTGTAACTAGAACAGGAATTTGACATTTTCACTTATCGGCTACAGAAGTTAACTTTTTGAGGCTATAGTATGTGTTTTAAAAGTATTACAAATGAAGCCATTAAATAATAGCACTAGCTTCTGGCTTTTCTTACCTTCTTTGTGAGCACTCTGCTCTACTTGCTTACCTGTCTCTCTTACCCTTCCACTGATTAGCTCCCTCCCTCCTTACCACGCCTTTCCTTCCTGAAGTTCTGCTAGAGTGTTCCGAGAGCCTCTGACCCCTCAGCAGTGTCCATAGTGCTAGGATTACAGGCATGTGCTGAGCTCTCTTACTTTATATGTATGATTACATTCCTTCTAGGTAACTGGACTAGCTTTGTATTCATTGAATTAATTCCAGTTGATCATGATATTTTTACTTTCTAGATACTTTGAATCTGATTTCAGCATTATGTTAGGAATCTTTTCATCTTTGTTGTAAAGAATATTGGTCATGTTTTACTTAACAGTTTTTTGTCTTATGGTTAGGGATGTGGATTGATAGGATCCTTTTAAGCTTTGATTTATTTTTATTGGTAGTCTTAGGCTTACACAGGGTATTTGTTTAGTCTTAGACGAGTTTAGAACTTTTTAGATTTAGAGTAATTTTCTTATTTTATATGATTTCAAATATGTATCCGTAGAATTATACATGTGATGGCTCTTGATTCTCAACATTTGAGAGATTTGATGGCACTGTGCTCTCTGTCCTGGCACTAGTCTCGGTCTACATTTCCCCAGATTCCTTTGAAATTTATGCTACATGTTTTTATAGTTTCTAAAGAACCCAGAGGTTTTTGTTTATTTGTTTGCTTGGTTGTTGTTATTTTAAAGACAGTCTCTATATACCTATGGCTGGCTGGAAATTACAGAAACTAGCCTGCTTCTCAGCTTCCCAGTGCTGAGATGGAGGCAGTCACCACCACATCTTGGCCAAAGAAACTGTTATTAGTTTCATTGATTGTTTTTAGTTGTTTTACTTCCTATTACTTACTGTTTCCTTTCTGTTCTCTACTTGTTCTTAGTCTATTGTGTTCTAGTTACAGGTGTGACACCTTTTTATTTATGCCAGTCTTTCTAACTACCACTTTCCCTGAACACCACTTTAGTTCCATTTCATACACTTTGGTCTATAACACCTTCACTTTCTTATTTACCTAGGACTTCCTCTTTAGGCTCATGCAGGATTAGAGGTTTGTTTTTCTTTCCAGCTTTTGAGAGTCCCACTGTTACTGAAGTGAACCTCTGTTTCACAGGACCTGGTTGATATGTTCAGTTCTTTAAGTAGAGCGTCCTTAAACTCTCTGCTCCTGTGTTTCATGCTTGCCCATTTCTTCTGTAACATCAGTGACTGAATAGGACACCTTTTGTTATTGCCCTCATACACTCCTAAGCAAACTTCTGTTCATTATTTTTCCTGGTCAGTGTGTTTTCTCTTAGTTAGTTATATTAGATCATTTCTGTTGATCTGTTTTCATATTCATTCTGTCATCTCAACTAAGACTTTAAACTTTAAAATACTTATTTATATTTACCTTATGTATTTTTTTGTAGATAGAGATATTTTCTATTTACTTCAAGAGTTCACCCATACCTCTGAAAAATTTAATGATAACTTATTAATTTATCTCATCTAGTTAATTCAGAATTTTTTGCCATGAGGCTTTGATGTTCATATGAGCTGATATTTTTCTGTTTGTATATGTAGTAATTTTGTATTGTGTCTTGTATATTTCAGTGCTATATGTGAAGGGTTTCATCTCATTTGAGTTCCGTAGTGAATACACATACACACACACCTCTGCCTCCTCCTTAGAGAGGGACAGGTCTAATAGACTTCAGGCTACAAATTCTGGATTGAAAGAGTTGGTTCCTTTCTCAATGCTTTTGTCCTGTGGTGCTCAGCAGAGGCTAATTGGGGCCTGCATATGGTTCTAGTTTATTTTTTGACTGTCTTTCAACCTTGGATAAGCTGTTCAAGAGCAATTGTGCTTGGGGTGTACCTAGGAATTTAGATTCAATTTAATGGTTTTCCTGATACTTTTTACCCCTGGTATTTTGAGCTTGGCTGAGCTTTCCCTTTACTTTCACCTAGAAGACTGGGCTTTTCTGTTCCTTGCCCTGCTGCATAACTTCCTACAACTACACCCACAGCCATAGAGAAACAGTATGTGCTGTGTTTTCTCCCATTCTTTTGGTATTCTGTACAGGAAGCAGGAAGATATTTAGTTATTTGAAAGTAGGGTAAATTTTTAGAACCTCTTTTTCGCAAATATGCTTTTCTTTGGTAAGACTTACCCTGCATTGGCATGCCACATCATCAGAAGAAAGATGAACTTTATTGAGATATGTGTTGTAAAATAAGTACCCCATCCTTGCCTTCTTTCCTTTCTCTTTGTTTTAAAACCACTCCAAAATTTAATGTTCTGGGATTAGGGGGAATAGCTCATTCAGTCATATTCTTCTTCTTGAAAACAAAAGAATTCTGAAAAGTAGTCATGTGACATATCACATGTGTAGTAGCACTGGGAAGGCAGAGATGGGGGAGGGGAGCGTCCCTAGCCTAATTGGTAATTCAGACCAGTGAACAACCATCTCAAAAGGAATGGATATCATTCCTGAGGATGACAATGAGGTAGTTTCCTGCTTTCCACATCCAAATTTGTGTGCAGCACACATACACACAGGACCCTGTCAGGTCATAGTGTCCATAATATCACTAGTAGAAATGGAATTTATCCAAGGCTGAGAATTCGACAAGTGTTTATTTGCCTTAACTGCAATCTGTATTGCCTGTTAAGCTTTGCTAAATGCATATTCTGTGGCTCATTTCTGCAGATTCTGATTGAATAGGTTTGTTGTATAACAAATGGATTAAATGCCCCTCTCTCCTATTCAGACGCTCCTACTTCAGGTCAGGACAATCCACAGCTATGTTTGCTCTGAACATGTGTGACTGAGGAGGGCAGTGTTCCCAAAGCTGCTGTAGCTGTGCTGCAGTCCTCTGACTCAGTTCCTCAGCATCACCTCTGGCACATCCTGCACTGGTTCATCTTTCTTGAGATTGTCTCTTTGAATCATTGAACATGGGATGTTTTAAACTAGTAAATCAGTTCAGCAAAAGCTAGAACTTAATAGTATCCCCTCTTTTTTATTTTACTGTTTAAGGACAAAATACTTTGTTTTTTCAGTTTTTCTTACATTCTGTAGCTTGTAGAATGCTTAAGACTTATCCATCATAAGCTTGAACTTTTGTATGTAGGTTTATATAGCACCAACTCACTGGACATAGAACATTTCTGGCTTCTTCTTGTATTTGTCCCTGACATTCCTCCCTACTTAGTGCCTTTGTCTATATCTATCCTGATTTCCAGCACAGAACATCACTTGGCCTTATTTCAGGTGTCTTATATAGAGTCATGTGACACATGCGCTTGGATACCTAGTATTTAATCAAGTGATCAAGCTTTGTTGAGTTTTTAAATTTACTTCTGAATTGTTTATACTCAAAACATGTATCTAAACCAAAGCAAATTTGGCTGACTTTCCCATTTTTCTTAGCTCGGTTAATTTTAAATGTCTTTAGGACATTACATATGGTTGTTTTCTAACTCCTAGAAGTTCAGTGTTCTGCAGTTTCCGTGGACTGTCTTTGCAATTACTCCTCCTTCTCTTGCACATTTTCTTTGGTCAGTATAATAGGGAGGAGCGTTTGGAAATCTTAGCTCTTACTTGTTTTTTGTCTGTATTTGAGCTAGGGGGAATTGGAGAGCAGGTGCATTCTGGTAATTATTGTGTTAATCTTTCATTCGTTATCTCTTTTTTCTGGTAGCATGATGGAAGTGGATCATTGCATGATGTTCAGCTATCATTGCCATCCAGTCCAGAGCCAGAAGATGGTGATCAGATCTATAAGGTATGGCTATGTATTTATACTGACGTTTTCAAAGTTTTTACTATAGAAATAATACAGCAGTCACATTTTAAGCTATGAATAATAGAGGTACAAAAAAACTAGAGCTTTTAGCAGGCTGCAGTAGCATATGCCTTAGATAGATTTGAAGTCTACCTGTGCTACACAGTGGGTTCTAGGCCAGCCCAGACAACTTAGTGAGATACTGTCACAAAAATGATCTGAGATTGTAGCTTCATTGGCCAAATACTTGTTTAACATCCATAAGGCCATACATGATATCAATTTCTAGTACAGAAAACGGGTCCACCTAGAGCTTTACTATCTGGGAAAACAACCAGATTTCCTCTAAACCTTTGCCATTGTATGGAAGTAAAATGGTAGTCCAGTAGTACTTTGATTTAAATTATCCTTGTCAGGTGGGAAGGAACTTGCTCCTGTGTTACTACTGTTGCTTATACCCATGAGTAATAATTATCAAAATAAGGTTTCAATGAAATTAAAATGACAGTATTTCATATATTCACAGAATTGAAGAAACATTAATATAATGAGATTGCCTTTTCCATATTTGAAAATCTAATTATAGAATTCAAGTATATTTTACTAAGCAATTGAAAGTATTATAATTCTCATGATCTTTAGATTTTAGTAGATAGCTCTTTTACAACTATTTCTCAAGCATACACAAATACTTTTGGTTCATTTAATATTTTCAAGTAAAGGTGTTCACATGCCTTTTCCAAAGTATAATTGCCTGTGTTTGTTAGTTATTTCAATAACCTAATCTCAGAACATTACCAACTTCAAATAACATAATACCAAGTCTTAATTACACATGATCTGTAGATGAGCTGAAATTCTGCTTCATATGTCTTCTTCAATCTGAGAGCCAAACTGAACGGTCATCCCTGTGGTGTGACATAGCATTGTAATATAAAGGAAAATGAACTTTGGAACATTCATATGAATTCTACTTGGACATAGCAAATGCTGCTTCCAGATGATTCAGATGGCCTAGGCTAGAAACACCTGGGCAGAGGAGCATAGGCTACTTATTGGCTTCTGAGTAATTTACCAAGAGCCAAATGATACACAAAGCAATCATAATCATAAGACTATAGCACAGTAGTTACATGGGTTAGTAATCTGGGCTGTTCCCTTTGGTGTCTACCTGTTGTTACTCAGTTACTCCCAGCCATGTGATTCCATACTACTGGTTGTGACAAAGTGTTCCACATCAGCAGATCTGGTTTTATAAAACAGTTTTACATGTGCATTCAGTTTTAAACTAGTGATTTTGATGACCTTGGAGTATATCTAAAATTTCCTCAGCTTTTCGGCTAACTTTTTTTCCTCACATCATTTTTTCTCTTAAATCTTATATATGCAAAGAATTAATTTTGAGACATGGTCTCATTTAGTCCAGGTTGTTCTCAACCTTGCTGTGTTTAGTATTACATGATAAACACATTGACAACTGGCATCAATTCATGTCCTATTTCCTTTGTGTCTAGGCAGTCATTTGTTGTTTATTTCTTATTCAGGCTGAGATGGAATAGTTTATTGTGTCCTGTATTCTCTATTTCTTTTAATTCATAGCTATTCGTAATGTCATTCAAGCTAGAAACAGATTTGACTCCTCCCACTAGACTTAAATTGCCTGTGATCACTGTTGGATCAGGCTTCTCATCTGAAGTATTGCAATGCCTTGGGTGCAGCTTCTGTTTTGCAGTATTGGGCATTTCTAGTTAATGATGTTGGCTAGTGACTTTCTCTTTAATTCAGGCAGCACTTGTCAGGACAGTGGTTCATTGAAGAACACTCCTTCCTTGGTACTCACCTGGAATATTTATTTATTTTTTACTGAGTTCTGAGCCAATTTTGAAAGTTCTATTCTACATTGATTATACAATTTTACTATACATTAATTTTCTGTTCCATCTGTCCTGCCCTTGATATTTTCTAACAGACAACTTAGAAGTGCCCTTGAAATCTTAGTTGAAGTTAGTTTTGCATGGTGATTTCCTTTCCTATATAACCGTTGGCCCGGTTTCTTTATCATTGTCAGTGCAAAGCAGTTAAGCACATATCTCCTTGTAGTCAGGATCATTATAAACGCTGATCCAGGTGGGAGCCTGGTGAGTATTAGTGTTTACTTCCCTTTTCCCCATTGCATGCCAGTTGCCATTAGACCATGAAATTATTTTAAAAATTATTTGAAGATTTCCTTTTAGATGAAGAAATCATTCATTCATTGCTTGACTTCATTGACTTTATACTTCCCATTAGAAAATTTTACATGACAGCATTTTTTATATTTCAGAATGAAGATTTACTAGATGAAATAAAACAACTTAAAGAGGAAATAAAGAAAAAAGATGAAAAAATCCAACTATTAGAGCAACAGCTTGTAAGTATTATAACAGAATAAAGCTGAGGCTCGTCACGTGGGGCAGTGTTCACTTTTATAAGACTGAGTGGAGTTTTACATTAGTTTTGATGTTTGGAGGTTCATGTAGCTTTGTGTTCAGAGTACATATGTTCTAGAAGAGTATATGATTGAACTTTGACATCAAATAGGAAGTATTCATGTGAATGATTCTTTGTTAGTTCATTGTTGATGGCTTCTTTTGTGAGACTGTAAAATTCATTTTACTTTTGCTTATTGATGGAGAATCAATGGCTTTCTTTCAGACATGTTTTGAGAAATGAGTACCTGGACATCTTATCTCTGTGAGCAGAGTGAAACTAAGTATTTGGCCTTAAGTATTGAGTTATACCGAAAGGGATTCTAGAGAAATAGTTTCATGTCTGTGGTAATAATACATGATTTCTCAGAGTAAAGCTTGCTTGAGTCTTCATAATTTTATAGTTGTTGTAATTTTAAATGTTCATAAGAAAACCATTTGTATAGTACCTTGAATTTAGTTATAGCATAGTTTGTAATAATCAAAAGGCCAGGTAAAAAGAACTTACTGCATAAAATTGCAAAAGTCATAATAATATTTATTGAAAGCCTAAAAACAATATGACAGAGCAAATTCAGCTTCATAAAATACTAATTTCTTCAAGAATGTCAAGTATTTAACAGTGAACTGTGCTACTGAGATCATATTACAGACATCCAGCTCATGGATGAATAGGAACACACAGATTAGATATGGTTAAAAAGGCAGCTGATTGGAATTGTGTAGAGAATTTATTTTTGAATTGATAATATTCCAGTAAAATCAGTGGCTCATTAAAGAGTCTTCACAAGATGAACAGACAAACAGACACAGCATCTGGACTGTTTGTATTTAACACCCAGAAGAATTCCATCAGAAATCCATTTAAGAAACAGTCTTTAATGGTTGTTGCCAGAACAGACTCCCCAGAGAGTTATAAATAAACATCTTCTCTTATAGAGCACCATCGTCAGCCTGAAGTAGGATTCCACCAGAGTCCAACTTTGGGGACCAGTGAGTCTGCTGAGTTTAATTTCAGAGCATAGGTGAGGGGTTGTTTAAAGAAATATGGGTGATCCCACAGCAGCTACACCTCAGGGAATTCTTACCCCACTGCTACCTAGATTGAGCTCCTTCTTAGTTAATACTCCAGAGAAAATAAACTCTAGCACTCCCTCAAGACAACAGCACCACAGTCATCCAGACAGAAGTTAGTGTAGCTGGCTGGAGGGTGCTGAAGTGTGTCTAGAATCTCAGATAAATTAGTGGAACCTTTCCACCCTGTCTAACAAAGGAATGTCACCAGACCCAGCCTTGAATTTATCTTGAAAGTAGTTACAGTTGGCCTGATGAATATCATGTGAGGGGCAGAGGACAGAGGTTTACAACAGCAGGGTCAAATAGACCAGAAAAGGAATATAATTTCTAGTTGTATTCTTTTTATGCCCTTAATTTTTACATATATTTTACATCTATATGTGATGTTATATACACACATAAAAATTATATATAGTGAGTTTTTTAGACAGTTTAATAAATTGCCCAAGAGAAAGTTTGATTATCTGAAATGTAGCCTACTGGCTTCTCTTAAGTACAGTCCCTGAAAAAGGAGAGACGACTGGATAGACTTTGATGTTTGGTTTAGGCATGTTTGCCATCAAAAGTATCTAGAGCTGCATTGTACTGTGCAACTTGATGAGTCGGCCTGTTCTTCCTATCACAGCCTCTAACTGCCTGTGTATGTGCAAAATTCAACCATTTTAAACATTTGTTTTCTCCAGGCAACCCGATGTAACTGCCACCAGAAATCTAAAGAGGGAAAGTGTACATATGCTGATAAATATACCCAGACGCCCTGGAGAAGAATTCCTGTAAGTCACCTATTCCTCACTCCTGCCCTTTGCTGTTTTGGTGTGTTGCTTTGATTTTTAATCTAACCACTAATAATTTTGAATCTGCCATAGCTATTTTTTTCTTTAGGTGTGAGTGGCTCTTTGCTTGCATCCTAGTTGTTAAGTGCTTTCCAAAGCTTCTATTGTGTGCTCTATACAAGCGAATGTGCTTTTACTAGCTTTTCCATTCTGCATTCTGTGGCCCATCTTATTTGAGTGTCTGCTCTTTTCTCATTGCATGCTTTTGTGGGGGTAGTAATACCGTTGTCCCACTTGTACAGTAGATCCCACCCTGAAGGTGTATGATAGCAAGAGCATACTCCCTTATGTGTTGAAACTTTTTGAAATAGGTTTTATTATAAACTATTGAGGGAATTAGGAAATATTAATACATGAAAACATAGTTAGGGTGTGGTTTATTAGAAACAGTTTGTTCTTTTTGAAAGTGTTATATATCAAGATATATTTAATGATAAAAGTACCTTGAATACCTGGAACTCACTTCAGGATGTCAGACATTATCCTATTGTATGGAGAAAGTAATAGACTTCTATAAATTAGAGCTTGATATACTTTGAGATTCCTTTTGTGTTTTATATTGTAACAGAGTCCTAGTAACACAGATTAATAGGAAAATATAACAACCAATATAGTTAATCCAACTAAGAAAACATAACTGTAAACCTTTAAAGTTTACAAAATTGTTACTTTTGTTTCTTTTTATATAATGTGTAATTGCATTCTTATGGGATAATGTGATGATAGAAATGAACTTACCTGAAGATCATCATGGTTCTTGAAGGAAAAGTGAGGAGTCAGAGAAGGAAATGCACAGATAGATGCAGACTCCTCGGTTCCTCAATAGCCAGTGGGACTACTGAGTCACTACTGAGTGCAAGATCTGTGTAGGCCAGAGGATTGGGAAGGTCTAGACAGATTGTAAGGGAGGGTGAAGGAGGCCCCTCACAGAAGGCAGATGGCATGCACAAAGAAAGCACAACTCTACTTTGATGCTAAAGGGTGTGGGAACTTCAATGCTTGGAGACAAGGCTGAGATGAAAGCTTATGTCTTGTGTCTCTACATGGGCATTTGATCTTTCTAGGGTCTCTAGTTTTCCCATAAGCTGTTGTAGCTTTAAACATTACAGGGACGTCATTAAACTTTTTAATATCCCTGGCTTCCCCGCCCACCTGCCTCACTGTTCTGAAACAAGATATTAATCTGCCTTTTTAAATAATTGGTACAGAACAATTCTGGTGTATTCCTGAGTCAGGTTTACAGTGATCTTGGGAAAAGTAAAGGTTAGGACTTTCGTCAAGCACTGTCAAAAATTCAGGCTTCCACTTTCACCATTACTTTTTTATAGGCATCACCTAGCCATGTTCCTTTGTTTTGGTGATGGGAATAAAAATCAAGGTGTATATATATAGTAAATGGCCTATTACATGTCTATAGCAAAGAAAAGGCTGGACAGTACTATAACTTAGGACTCCTGACTAGAGGCCCATAGTCCCTTATCCCCAAAGCACACACAAGAGCCTTGCCAGATGAGAGGTTTTGAAAATGAGAACGGGAGGATTGGAACATTCTTAACTAGAACAGCTAGTAAAGGTGGCAGGGGATGGAGGTGGCAACAGTAAGTGGACAGTTAGGCAGGAACACACACTCGTCCTAAGGAAAGTAGTGAAAGTTAGTGTGAAAGCTCATGGGAGTACAGAGTCAGAAAATCTAATCTCAGAATTACTGTAGTTTCACTGAGGTTTATTCAGTGAATAAATAAATCTGTGTTCATTTACTTCAATAATATTTATGTATCCAGTTAATAATGAGTTTACTGTGTGATCTTTTACCCCTCTTCATTGGGCTTCACTTGAAACACATTACTTTGGAAACAGTTACTATGATTATAGTGATTTTCTTTTCCCTCAAAAATTATACATTGTTCCAGATGTTGTTGTTGTTGTTGTTCTTCTTCTTCTTTTTTTTTTTAGATTTATTTTATGTGAGTACACTCTCACTGTCTTCAGACACAGAAGAGGGCATCAGATCGCATTACAGATGGTTGTGAGCCACCATGTGGTTGCTGGGAATTGAACTCAGAACCTCTGGAAGAGCTGACTGTGCTCTTAGTTGCTAGCCATCTCTCCAATCCTGTAGATTTTTTTTTTTTGTTTTTAAGTAGGAGTTCAGTATATTTAGACAAGGTTTAGGCAATACAAATGTGGGCATGCAGTGTGGTTCTTGTTTGTAAACTTTAGGTTTTTTTTTTTTTGGCAGAAATTTTAGAAATGAAAAGGCAATTTAAAAATCTTTTTAGTAAAGTTAATTTTTTTAAATCTATCTAGCCCTTTGAGAAGGTTGCAGATGATGATCTGTCGTCTTCATAGTTTTTTATAACATCTTGAGGTAGCTTAGTCATTTTTGACATTGCTACAGTCACTTGATTATTAGCTTGTACTTGTGAGAATTCCCTTTGCACATGATCAAAACATGAAGGAAGAAATCTGCCTACAGTGAAGGATGGAAAGGGTTGATGGCTGAGAGGCTTACTGACTAGGGTTTGTCGGTAGCCATGTTGGAGAAGGAAGGAAATGTGAAAGGTGGTAAGAGACAGATGCCTGAGGAGATGGCTGCCTGTGACAGCAGGATGGCGGAAAAGCAAGCACTTTGAAGCCAACATGACCCCAACCCACAGTAAGAAGCTTGCTTACTGTGACCAACAGTTTGCCTAGGTGCTAGTAATCTCGTCTCTCCCTTCACACAAGGAAACTAAAGCTGAGAAGAGCTTGAGTTCAAGTACTTGCACGATTCAGGAATGCTGTGGAAGGCTGGTGCTCTGAGAAATCAAAGTTCATCTTATTTTGTTTTTCTTTTTGTTTGAGACGTGGTTTCACAGTTTAGTCCTGGCTGCCTAGAATTCACTGTGAATACCAGGCTGGCCTTAAACCCGGCAGAGTTCTATATACCTGTGTTTCCTAAGTTTGGAGAATAAATCACCAACAAGCCCAACTGAAGGTTCATTTTAAATATATAAAGCTACAGAGCCAGCTGTGGTTGGTGCAGTCCTGTTGATCCCAGCGCTTGGAGGCTAGTATAACAGGATAGCCACAAGTCCAGAGCCAGTCTGTGCTTTATTGCAGACCTTGTTACTGTTCTCACAGGTAGTCTTTACTGATCCTTGTACTACCCCACTCTTAAGAACAGCATTATTTAATATTGAATTCCAATAATAATTAAACAAAAAGATACCATGAATTTGAGGAGTGGGAACATATAGGATAAATTAGGAGGAGGGAAATGATATGATTATATTTAATTGAAAAATTGTGAAATAAATAATTTGGATAAAAAACATAGGACAAGGATGAAATTCTATTACTCAGTGTATTTCCAGTATTTTTTAAAAACTGTTTAAGCTTAACATCTACAGATAGTCAGTTTGCACATTAAATTCCAAATTATTCTGACATATTCTTGTTACCAACCAGCCATTTGTCTGAACCTCTTAACTTACATAATTAAAAAAATTAACCCTCAATCTCCATCAGACAGCAAAGAAGGTCTAAAGGATCTATGTCGTATCGCATAATTAGCTGTCCTGGATTACTATTAAAACAAGTGTGGGAATATGCAGACTGTCATGTCCACATGGAAAGGCTTGATCAAGTTAAAACTCTGTTCACAGTTGCACCTAATTCTACTTTTCTCCCCTGGGTTAATAACTGAGTATTGTGTATGAGAGAGTCAAGGGAAATGATCTGGCATATATTTCAAAATGTCCTATTGTAATAATTTCTAACATAGAATAAATCTTATTAGTTCATAACACTGCATATAGGAGAGACATATACAACAATCAATTCAACAGTGGAATAATGTATGTTGTAAGCAGTCATTTTCCTGTTTGTGTAGTAGACTCATGATGTCAAGTTTTCCCAGTATAGTTTTATAAAATCAAAACCTGCCACAGATGCATCCCAAAAGGCATTGTTTTCTAAACATTAATGTTTATAATTTTATCAGCAAGAAACCTGGTTTTTTTTCCCCTTAGGCCTGGGAGATAGGATGTCAGAGTAACTGAAACAACAGTGTATCTTTCTGATTTCTCTTCTGAGTAATTTTCCTTGTGATTTTCTTTTGAGACCAATGTTTTCCTGATTTGGAGCCTGGACAGGATGATTGGTTAACATTTCTACAGTACTATCCTGATTTTAAACTCAGATTTGCCATGTTCCTCTTCACTGGGAGTTGCCATATTGCAACTCAGAGATATTGATGTATATATTTGGATATATTTGGAGATAGTTACTCAAAGGGAATTAAAAAATTATTTTGTTGCCAAATGGTCTTATTTATTTATATATTTATTTTAGTGTTGTATTTATATTTGCTACTCAAAAATGTTTGTGTGAAAATACACAGACATACACACACACAGAGACACATACACACACTCGCATCAATATTTGAACAAGTAACATTTGTGAGATGGTCACAGGGTTGCTTTTATATAGTGTAATGTAAATCATTTCAGGCATCAGGTTTTGCATGTGGCATATGCTAGCTACCTTTATAAAAACTGGCAGGAGCAACCTGTGCTTCTGAGAGTTCACGTTCTAACAGGTAGAAGTCTGCACACAGAAGATTGTTGTTCATATCTTACACTGTTTGTTAAAACAGCCGTGTTGTGCATCTTGTAGTTATATATGAAATCAGTACCTGATGGGAAGTGCTTTTCAAGGCCAGTAACATTATACATGGCTCTTATGGCCGTCTACTTACCTGTTTATAAGTACCTGTCATTCCTGTGGATTTACTCCAGATATGGGAAATATTTTTAAATCTGTTTTCAGTGTGCATTGGAAGAAACAATGTTGCTGTGAAGACTTAGAAAACAGGCTAAAGCAGCAGTTGGCTAGTTCTGGGACCATTTCATTTGTGTGTTATAGTTTTATCTGTGGGTAGCTTTTAATTTGGC